TCTCTCTATCTCTCTATCTATCCATCTCTCTATCTATCTCTCTATCCATCTCTCTATCTATCTCTCTATCTCTCTATCTATCTATCTATCTCTCTATCTATCTATCTCTCTATCCATCTCTCTATCTATCTATCTATCTATCTATCTCTCTATCTATCTCTCTATCCATCTCTCTCTTTATCTATCTATCTCTCTATCCATCTATCTCTCTATCTATCTATCTCTCTATCCATCTCTCTCTTTATCTATCTATCTATCCATCTCTCTATCCATCTCTCTATCTATCTCTCTATCTATCTCTCTATCTCTCTCTCTATCTCTCTATCCATCTGTCTATCTATCTATCTCTCTATCTCTCTATACATCTCTCTATCTATCTATCTCTCTATCTATCCATCTCTCTATCCATCTATCTCTCTATCTATCTCTCTATCCATCTCTCTATCTATCTATCTCTCTATCTCTCTATACATCTCTCTATCTATCTATCTCTCTATCTATCTCTCTATCTATCCATCTCTCTATCCATCTATCTATCTCTCTCTCTATCTATCTCTCTATCTATCTATCCATCTCTCTATCTATCCATCCATCTATCTATCTATCTAACCATTTATCTCTCTATTCATCTATCTATCTATCCATCCATCTATCTATCCATCTATCTATCTATCTATCTATCTATCCATCTCTCTATCCATCTATCTATCTATCTATCTATCTAACCATTTATCTCTCTATTCATCTATCTATCTATTTATCTAACCATTTATCTCTCTATCCATCTATCTATCGATCCATCTATCTATCCATTTATCTCTCTATCTATCTATCCATCTATCTATATATCCATCTCTCTATCCATCTATCTATCTATCCATCTATCTATCTATCTATCTATATATCTCTCTATCTCTCTATCTCTCTATCTCTCTATCTATCTATCCATCTATCTATCTATCCATTTATCTCTCTATCTATCTATCCATCTCTCTATCCATCTATCTATCTCTCTATCTCTCTATCTATCCATCTATCTATCCATTTATCTCTCTATCTCTCTATCTATCTATCCATCTATCTCTCTATCTCTCTCTCTATCTCTCTATCTATCCATTTATCTATCTATCTCTCTATCTATCAGTGACGTGCGGTGAGGTTCATGGCAGGTGAGGCACTGACTCTTAAATATTCTGTTATTTTCAAAAGCTTTTTTGGTCTGATGTTTCGATTCATTTTAAACAGACCGTTCAACAAAAGGATACCCACAATCTAAATATTGGATTGTTGTTTCTTAGTAAGAACCAATTTTCATTACCAATGTGGTCTTACCTTGACTTGAAGATGAAGTCCATGCTATCCTTCTGGACAACAATCTCTATTACTTTTTTGTAAAAGTCCTCCTTATCTTCCTCTAGTTTCAAAAGTCTAGTTTGTTGTTTGCATCTATACCGTCTCTTCGTAGAATAACAGTAGCAACAAGGACCTGTGGGCTCACTTGCGCCCCTTCAGTGCGGCAGAGGTTATGGCTGCCTCCCCTGGTGCTTTTTTCATTGCCGTTGTACGGCGAGCCTAAATATCATATATACGTGAAATAAGTTATTTAGAGACTATGGATGGCGAGGATAAATGTAATAAAGGGATCTACAAACATTACATTGGTGATCTACAGTGAGATGGTACAGGCATGCGCTTAGGGCCCGCTTTCCAGCCAGTTTCTGTGAGGTGACGCATTTTGAGGTGAGGCAGAGCTCATCTGTGCCTCACCTTACCACACAGTAACTGGCTCGAGCGCGCTCACAAAATAAGTGCCCGCGCTAAATTAGTGCCCGCGCTCCAGTAAGTTACTGTGGGCTTACGTGAGGCAGAGCTCGTCCCTGCCTCACTCCTCATCGCTCCCATGTAGTTGTAGCGGAGCTCGGCAAATTTGCTGATTTTAACTATAAAAAGCGATTGGAATCAAACAGAAATCACACTTACAACACAGATCAGTGGAGACATTTTATTATTATTACTATTTAGTTTTTCTTTAGTTGTTTTTCCGTTACATTGTAGTATGGCCAGTCGATGAGTATGACAGGTGAGGCTCTGCCTCCCCTGCCTCCCCAGACTGCACGTCGCTGCTATCTATCTATCTCTCTATCTATTTATGTGGGCGTTAAAGGATAAATCCTGATCAAATATAACACCAAGATTCCTTACAGTCTCACTGGAGGCCAAATTAATGCCATCCATAGCTAGTATATCTTTAGATCATTTGTTTTGTAGATTCTTCGGGCCGAGTACAATAACTTCAGTTTTGGTCGTGTTTAACATCAGAAAGTTTAAAGTCATCCACGTTTTTAAGTCCTTGAGGCAGTCTTGAATTGTATTTAGATGATTAATTTCATCAGGCTTGATTGATAAATATAGTTGAGTATCATCCACATAACAATGAAAGTTTACAGAATGATTCCTTATAATATTGCCTAACGGAAGCATATATAATGTGAACAAAATAGGTCCGAGCACTGAGCCCTGTGGCACTCCATGGCTAACTTTGGTTTGCGTGGAAGATTCATCGTTGACACGTACAAACTGAGAGCGTTCAGATAGATAGGACCTAAACCAGTCTAAAGCAGTTCCCTGTATGCCAACTAAGTGCTCTAGTCTTTGCAATAAGATATCATGGTCGATAGTATCAAATGCAGCACTGAGATCGAGCAAAACAAGAATAGAGACAAGTCCTTTGTCTGAGGTTATTAGAAGGTCACATCACCTCACAACTTCCCCAGATAGTTACTTACGTCAAGTCAGTATTTTCCCCTGAAATGTTATGTTTAAATTCAGATCAGCTTTAAATCTATAGATGAATTCAGACATAGTAAAACAAACAACATTTCTATGTTTCTTGGAAGTTTTATTTCCATCAGAGTGAAAGAAAACATGGAAGCAGAATAGACCAAAATAACAAGTACATGAAAAAACGATCTTTTCGCCTGTAATGTCCTCAAACAGTAACTTCATCATGTTGATGGTTGTCTGCTCATTTAATAACTATTCATTCACTAGTTTGTTGTCTGCTCTTGTGCATTGGGAATACTAAAGAAGACCATTGTCTCTGTGTTCTGACCTGTCTGCTGCATTCGACACGGTGAATCATCAGATCCTCCTTCGCACTCTCCAAAAACTTGGAGTTTCAGGCTCTGCACTTTCCCTCCTCACCTCATACCTCAAAGACCGCACCTACAGGGTGACTTGGAGAGGGTCTGAGTCCGACCCTTGTCAATTAACTACGGGGGTCCCTCAGGGCTCTGTTCTTGGTCCCCTCCTCTTCTCCTTGTACACAAACTCGCTCGGATCAGTCATTAGCCCGCATGGTTTTTCTTACCACTGCTACGCTGACGACACCCAATTAATTCTGTCCTTTCCCCGCTCAGAGACCCAGGTCATCGCACGCATCTCTGCTTGTCTAGCTGACATCTCTCAGTGGATGTCTGCTCACCACCTCAAGCTCAACCTTGACAAGACTGAGCTGCTCTTCCTTCCGGGAAAAGATTGTCCAACTCTTGACCTGACAATCAACATCGGCACCTCAGTTGTTTCCCCGACTCAGACTGCAAGGAATCTGGGTGTGACCCTAGATAACAACCTGTCCTTCACTGCAAACATCGCTGCTACAACCCGCTGCTGCAGATACACGCTTTACAACATCAGGAAGATACGTCCCCAGCTGACTCAGAAAGCGACTCAGGTTCTGGTCCAGGCTCTCGTCATCTCACGCCTAGACTACTGCAACTCCCTCCTGGCTGGTCTACCTGCATGTGCCATTCGACCTCTGCAGCTCATCCAGAATGCAGCGGCTCGTCTGGTTTTCAACCTTCCTAAATTCTCCCACACCACTCCGCTCCTCCGCTCCCTTCACTGGCTTCCGGTAACTGCTAGAATCCACTTCAAGACACTGGTACTTGCTTACCGTGCTGCGAATGGATCTGGCCCTTCCTACATCCAGGACATGGTTAAACCGTACACCCCAGCGCGTGCACTACGCTCTGCATCAGCCAAACGACTCGTTGCGCCCTCGCTGCGAGGGGGACCCAAGTTCCCATCGGCGAAAACACGTGGGTTTGCTATCCTGGCTCCAAGATGGTGGAATGAGCTCCCCATTGACATCAGGATGGCAGATAGCTTGCACATCTTCCGGCGCAAACTGAAAACTCATCTCTTTCGACTCCACTTCGAGCGTTAGAACGATTAACGAAGCACTTTTATACTAATAAAGGACTGGATTACCTAAAGCCAGTTGAGTAGCACTTGAAATGTTTGGCTCTATGAAACCTGATATACTTATATGATTCTGTTTTCTTCAAGGTTGTGTCTTCCTGGTCGAATGTACTTATTGTAAGTCGCTTTGGACAAAAGCGTCAGCTAAATGCAATGTAATGTAATGTAATGTAATGTGTTAGCTGATTATTCTGTAGAATTCTGTTGAGTATTAAACACTAAGTGAGTGTGAGGGTATTACAATTAACTGGTCAGTGAGTCAGAGATGTGCAACTATATTTAACTTTTTGTTTTACATTTTTTTATAAATGATTATGGGAAGTGCCCTTTTTCTCACTTGAGCACCCGCCCCCCAAAATGTCTGTATACGTCCCTGCTGGCAGACACAGCGCTCCTGGCTAAAATGCTGGTCACATCCTTATGTAAACAAACACGCATGTAAACAGCAATTTATCAAGGTCAGAAAAGTTATTGAGTTCATTTTTATTTATCGTACAATAGTAAATTAATTGCTTATCGCGACAGGCCTACACACACACACACACACACACACACACACACACACACACACACACACACACTCAAAGAAGGTCCCTGATCTCTGATTGCTCCTGATCTGTGGTTGGTCCTGATCTCTGATTGATCCTGATCTCTGATTGGTTCTGATCTCTGATTGGTCCTGATCTCTGTTTGGTCCTGATCTCTGATTGCTCCTGGTCTTTGATTGGTCCTGACAGAGGACCCTCAGACCGACACAGAGTTTAATTACGTTCACATGATGGCGAGGGACGAGCGGCGCTTCAAAGCCGCCGACACCAACGGAGACCTGATCGCTGACAGGAAGGAGTTCACCGCCTTCCTGCACCCCGAGGACCACAAGCACATGAAGGACATCGTGGTGCAGGTGATGTAACATATATGATATCACTGCTGTAATGTCACATAATGATGTCACTGGTGTGATGTCACTGATGTCATGTGATGGCTCACAGGAAACGATGGAGGACATCGATAAGAACGGAGACGGCTTCATCGACCTGAAGGAGTACATCGGTGAGGAAAACTTTACTGAGTTCACTTCCTGTTGTGGCTCCGTCCAGCAATCAGAGGGCCTCTGGTGTGACTGAACGGTGTGTTTTGTTGGAGATATGTTCACCTCAGAGGACGGGGGGCGTCTCTCAGGTGGTTTATTGACTTATTTCCTCTGACTGACATGTCTCTGTGTGCAGGAGACATGTTCACCTCAGAGGACGGCGAGGACGAGCCGGACTGGGTGGCGTCGGAGCGTCAGCAGTTCTCAGAGTTCAGAGACAAGAACGGTGATGGGAAGATGGACCAGGAGGAGACTCTGGACTGGATCCTGCCGTCGGACTACGACCACGCTGAGGCCGAGGCCAAGCACCTTCTGCACGAATCCGACGCCAACCAGGTACCTTTCACCTTATTATATTATTATTATATTACCACCTCATCATCAGCCTTCATTAACCACATGACTCCTGCTGTCTCAGGACGGGAAGCTAACCAGAGACGAGATCCTGAGTAAGTTTGAGGTGTTCGTCGGCAGTCAGGTGACGGACTTCGGGGAGGCGTTACTGCGACACGACGAGTTCTAGAGGCCAGTCGCAATACAAACACAATCATTTATTTTTTAAAGCTGGTCAAACTAAAAACGCTGTGGATTCATAGATTTATAATGATATTTGATGTTTTATAATATTTCCTTCTCTGGGGATGTTTATATCCAGGTCTCGTTCAGAGTTCAGGTGATGAGGTCAGAGGATGTGTAAATACAGATATTTTCTGATTCAATAAAGTCTTTCTTCACATATAAAGGTGTTGGTCTTTCTGAGAGAAGTTGGACATCGAATGGATCAGAGACTGTGTTTTACATTTCATTTATTTTATTATATTTACATTATCAGCAATCATCCTTTAATCAGTCGTCATTTTGTCCCATCGTTAAGACACTGAGGACACCTCAGTCTTTGAGGTAGACACTTTAGAGTCGTCCTCCGTGTTCTTCCCAAACACTGTCTCCATGATGCAGCCTTTAAACTGAGGTGAGAAGAAGAGAAATCACGTGTTAGACATCCTGTTCACCTGTCTGTCTGTCTGTCTGTCTGTCTGTCTGTCTGTCTGTCTGTCTGTCTGTCTGTCTGTCTCTCTCCTCTCTGTCTCTCTCCTGTCTGTCTGTCTCTCTCCTGTCTGTCTCTCTCCTGTCTGTCTCTCACCTGTCTGTCTCTCTCCTGTCTGTCTGTCTCTCTGTCTGTCTGTCTGTCTGTCTGTCTGTCTGTCTGTCTGTCTGTCTGTCTGTCTGTCTGTCTTCTCTCTCCTCTCTGTCTCTCTCCTGTCTGTCTGTCTGTCTGTCTGTCTGTCTGTCTGTCTGTCTGTCTCTCTCCTGTCTGTCTCTCTCCTGTCTGTCTCTCACCTGTCTGTCTCTCTCCTGTCTGTCTCTCTGTCTGTCTCTCTGTCTGTCTGTCTGTCTGTCTGTCTGTCTGTCTGTCTGTCTGTCTGTCTGTCTGTCTGTCTGTCTGTCTGTCTGTCTGTCTGTCTGTCTGTCTGTCTGTCTGTCTGTCTGTCTGTCTCTCTCCTCTCTGTCTCTCTCCTGTCTGTCTGTCTGTCTGTCTGTCTGTCTGTCTGTCTGTCTGTCTGTCTGTCTGTCTGTCTGTCTGTCTCTCCTGTCTCTCACCTGTCTGTCTCTCACCTGTCTCTCACCTGTCTGTCTCTCACCTGTCTCTCACCTGTCTGTCTCTCACCTGTCTGTCTCTCACCTGTCTCTCACCTGTCTGTCTGTCTGTCTCTCACCTGTCTCTCTCTCACCTGTCTGTCTCTCACCTGTCTGTCTCTCTCCTGTCTCTCACCTGTCTGTGTCTCACCTGTCTGTCTCTCACCTGTCTGTCTCTCACCTGTCTGTCTCTCACCTGTCTTTCTCTCACCTGTCTGTCTCTCACCTGTCTGTCCCACCTGTCTGTCTCTCACCTGTCTGTCTCTCACCTGTCTGTCTCTCTCCTGTCTCTCACCTGTCTGTCTCTCACCTGTCTGTCTCTCACCTGTCTGTCTGTCCCACCTGTCTGTCCCACCTGTCTGTCTCTCACCTGTCTCTCACCTGTCTGTCTCTCACCAGTCTGTCTCTCACCTGTCTGTCTGTCTCTCTCTCTCCTGTCTCTCACCTGTCTGTCTCTCACCTGTCTCTCACCTGTCTGTCTCTCACCTGTCTGTCTGTCTGTCTCTCACCTGTCTCTCACCTGTCTGTCTCTCACCTGTCTCTCACCTGTCTCTCTCTCACCTGTCTCTCTCTCACCTGTCTGTCTCTCACCTGTCTGTCTCTCTCCTGTCTGTCTCTCACCTGTCTGTCTCTCACCTGTCTGTCTCTCACCTGTCTGTCTCTCACCTGTCTGTCTCTCACCTGTCTGTCTCTCACCTGTCTGTCTCTCTCTTGTCTCTCACCTGTCTGTCTCTCACCTGTCTCTCACCTGTCTGTCTGTCCCACCTGTCTGTCTCTCTCTTGTCTCTCACCTGTCTGTCTCTCTCTTGTCTCTCACCTGTCTGTCTCTCACCTGTCTGTCTCTCACCTGTCTCTCACCTGTCTGTCTGTCCCACCTGTCTGTCTCTCACCTGTTTGTTCATGAAGGTGTAGATCAGAGGGTTGTAGACGCAGGAGCTCTTGGAGAATATGGCAGGGATGGCCACCAGTCTGTAGTCTTTGTTCGGATCCGTGGAGTAGGCGAAGTACAGGGCAGCGAGGGCGTAGGGAGCGTAACAGACGACGAAGGATCCCACCATCACCACGATCATCCTGGAGACCTCCTTCTCTGCCTTCTGGGTGGAGACAGACTCCGCCTGCTGCGCCGCCACCTACACAACAACAGGAAACATGAATCTACACACCAACGCTGACTGATGGATGGGTGTATAGAGACACAGCTCTGAGGGTCCTCAGCAACTGATGTGTGTGTAGATGTATAGATCTACAGAGGTATAGATCTACAGAGGTATGGATCTACAGATCTGCAGAGGTATAGATCTACAGAGGTATAGATCTGCAGAGGTATGGATCTACAGATCTGCAGAGGTATAGATCTACAGAGGTATAGATCTACAGAGGTATGGATCTACAGATCTGCAGAGGTATAGATCTACAGAGGTATAGATCTGCAGAGGTATGGATCTACAGATCTGCAGAGGTATAGATCTACAGAGGTATAGATCTACAGAGGTATAGATCTACAGATCTGCAGAGGTATAGATCTACAGAGGTATAGATCTGCAGAGGTATGGATCTACAGATCTGCAGAGGTATAGATCTACAGAGGTATAGATCTGCAGAGGTATAGATCTGCAGAGGTATAGATCTACAGAGGTATAGATCTGCAGAGGTATAGATATAGAGAGGTATAGATCTGCAGAGGTATAGATCTGCAGTGGTATAGATCTACAGAGGTATAGATCTGCAGAGGTATAGATCTACAGAGGTATAGATCTATAGAGGTATAGATCTACAGAGGTATAGATCTACAGAGGTATAGATCTACAGGTATAGATCTACAGAGGTATAGATCTGCAGAGGTATAGATCTACAGAGGTATAGATCTATAGAGGTATAGATCTGCAGAGGTATAGATCTACAGAGGTATAGATCTGCAGTGGTATAGATCTACAGAGGTATAGATCTGCGGAGGTATAGATGGGTAGGGGACTCACGGCTCTGAGGGTCATCAGCAGCTGGCCGTAGCAGAAGATGATGATGCTGAGCGGCATGATGAAGCAGGTCACCATCAGGAAGAAGGTGTAGCTGCTGCAGTGATACTCCTCATTGTGAGTGTACCAGTCCGGTCCACAGGCGCAGCCCAGGCCTTCAGGGATGTACCTGACACCAGAACCATATTAGACCTGATACTATCTGAGAAGAACTGAGATAAACCTTAGACCACCTGAGATAAACCTGAGATCACCTGAGACCACCTGGGATAAACCTGAGACCACCTGAGACCACCTGAGATCACCTGAGACCACCTGAGATAAACCTGAGATCACCTGAGACCACCTGGGATAAACCTGAGACCACCTGAGACCACCTGAGATCACCTGAGATCCCCTGAGATAAACCTTAGACCACCTGGGATAAACCTGAGATCACCTGAGATCCCCTGAGACCACCTGAGACCACCTGAGATCACCTGAGATCCCCTGAGACCACCTGAGATCCCCTGAGACCACCTGAGATAAACCTGAGACCACCTGAGACCACCTGAGATAAACCTGAGAACACCTGCAGAGGCAGCAGACCCGGTCCCCTACCTGCTCCAGCCGAAGAAAGGTGGGATGGCACAGCCGACCCCCATGAACCAGGTGAAGCCGACCGCGGCCAGAGCATGTTCGTTGCTGAACGTGAAGGCCCCCAGCGGCTTGCAGATCACAAAATACCTCTCCAGAGACAAAACTGCCAGAGACCAGGCCGTCACCAGCCCTGAAGTCAGAGGAGAACAGGGAGTTGCAGGTCAACAGGAAGTCAGAGGAGAACAGGGATTGCAGGTCAACAGGAAGTCAGAGGAGAACAGGGAGTTGCAGGTCAACAGGAAGTCAGAGGAGAACAGGGATTGCAGGTCAACAGGAAGTCAGAGGAGAACAGGGATTGCAGGTCAACAGGAAGTCAGAGGAGAACAGGGATTGCAGGTCAACAGGAAGTCAGAGGAGAACAGGGAGTTGCAGGTCAACAGGAAGTCAGAGGAGAACAGGGATTGCAGGTCAACAGGATGTCAGAGGAGAACACAGGAACCCTTTGTCACTTCCCTATCTGCAGTGCACATGTGCGAGATGGTCCGCCATATTTGACAACTACATACGGCAACCCAAGTAGGACACTTGACACAGTGGCTTTTGGCAAAGCTCAAAAAGAAAACTCGAGAGAGAGATGAGTTATTGTTATTACAACGTGACTTCACTATTATTTAACAGCTCTTTTTATTGGGTTCTTTGTCAGAATAAGTGAGAAATGGATTTAACTTCTGTTAGACAGCCATATGCCATACATGTTTGCATACTTTCACAGTAAATATTTATTCAGTATGTATAAATAGTATATAAATAATAGTGAAGTCACGTTGTAATAACAATAACTCATCCCTCTCGAGTTTTCCTCTTGAGCTTTGCCAAAAGCCACTGTGTCAAGTGTCCTTCTTGGGTTGCCGTCCGGAGTTCTCCAATATGGCGGACCATCTCGCACATGCACACTGCAGATCAGGTAGTGACACCCTAACGTAACCTACACACGGTTCCGTCTCGTTGACGCTTGCCGGTAGGCGTATCTGGCTTGCGACCAACAGCCAATCACATGAATCTCCTGCCCCGGACACACAAAGAGCGCGTTTGATTGGCTAGAGCTTGTACTGGCATATGATTTGATTTGCTGGCACTTCCGTCGACGCTTGAAAAGTTGAACTTTTCTCAACTTTCAGCGCGAGCAACGGAACCACAATGCAGTTCGGCAAAGCGTGACGTCACCCCATTCAAAGTGAAGGGGAAGCGTCTCCGTTGAAGCTCGTAACGAAACCGTGTGTAGGAACCCGTTCACTACAGATTTAGAAAAAGCATTCAACAAAATAACTAATACATTTAGAAGCTTTTATTTCGACGTGTAATATTTCCTGTGAATTCAGAATCTATAATATGAAAATCCTTAAGGTAAACGTCGATGATTTATTCTCTTATTTGTTGGTATAAATAATAAGATATACCTGCGATGGAACCCATGGTGGCCTCCAGGGCGCACATGGTGTGACCCAGGAAGTAATAGCCTCTGGCGCTGCAGATGAACACCTGGCTGACGGAGAAGGTGGTGAAGATGAAGCCCGCGAACGACACGTTCACCAGGATGTAGTTCAGAGGAACCCTCAGCTTCTTGTGCTTCAGCGTGACGAAGAGCACGAGTAGGTTGAGAGGCGTCCCGGCAAAGAAGACAAAGCCCATGAAGATGGTCTGCAGGTAGAAGGCCCAGCGGGGGGCCAGGTGATACTGAGGGCCTTCGAAGGGACTGATGTTCGAGACATTCTCGTAAAGGTGGAAGTCCTTCCCCATCGTGACCTCCGACTGTATAACACAGCTCCAGTCTGCAGCCTCTTTATATACGCAGAGATAACCCAACCCTCCCGTCTGATAAACCCTAACTCCAGTCCTCTTTATCAACACACCGATAATAACCAGATAACTACGAGGATTTACTCCTAAAGCTGCTTTTCTGCAGCTTTCAGACGGACTGAGTCCATGACGACCCTCATACTCACCTTTGTGAGGAGCTTTCTTTGAGAACAGATAACAAACATGCTGCTGAATGGTTTTAGTCCGTCACGCTAATAGCTCATGTTCTGAGTAACATCCATCTCCCCTCTTCACTGTGTGAGATACAGACAGGAAGATCAAAATGCTGTTTCTCACAATCCTGAGGAATAAAAGTTCAAACCAACTTACAAAAGCAGCCTGCAACCGTTCTGCGCATTACAAAGAAGGGCTCTAAGCGTAATCAGTAATGTTGGATATCTTGAACACACTCATTCATTATTCTTAAAGTCACACACACTGGAGTTTACTGATCTGGTTACCTTTCAAAGTGCATCATGTACAGAGCAAGACATCATCTACTTCCTGGAAACTACAGACGTTGTTCACAGACAGAGAGGGGGGGTCTCATCTGAGAGGAGATCTACATCTGAAACAACTCGAGGTCAGAAGAACGATCTGTGGGGGGTTTGATGGAGCACTTTGGAGCAGGAGTTCAAACAAAGCACACATAGCATTCACTTTGAAGGATGCACAGAAACACTTCATAAGAATGAAGAAAGGAGATTGAAGAGGAGAAGTGATTGAAAGGATAATCATTGATCAGCAGTAAGTAAGGGAGATCAATAAGCATCTGCTTCCTCCTGCTCCCTTCGGACACATAGGATTTATTATTATTAATATTATTAATATTTTTGTTGAATATATAAATATTATTATGAATATTGATAAATGCTATATTCTAACAATACGGTATTCACATTTGTTATTTTAATCTGTTTGAAATAAAGATGGAACTGAAATGAATAAAAGATCTATCTCTGTGCTGCTGCTCCTCCTTGTGTTGCACCTCTGAAGTCTCATTGATCTGTGTACTGTCTCTACTGAAGTCACAGAGCTGTCCGTCTGTGACTTCAGGTTCTGCTTAACCCTTCACCTGAGCGCACTGTGTAAATCCACTCAGACCCTCGGATTACACCGAAGATTCACTGCTCCCACTTAACTGATTTAACCTGCTGTAAGCCGCTGTTAACCACTTTAAACCACTTTGAACCACTTTAAACCACTTTGAACCGATTAGCCCGGGTCTGAAAGGACCAAGCGTTAGCCAGAGGAAGCAGATTAAAAGGGTTAATCTCTGTTTCGGTTATACAACAAATGCTTCATCTTCACGAGACAGAGCGGAGGACAGGTCAGGGTTCATATCCTCTTCTATAAGTCTGGTTCTCTGGTTCTGTGTTTCTACAGGTCTGGTTATCTGGTTCTATAGGTCTGGTTCTGTGTTTCTACAGGTCTGGTTCTGTGTTTCTATAGGTCTGGTTCTGTGTTTCTATAGGTCTGGTTCTGTGTTTTTACAGGTCTGGTTCTGTGTTTCTATAGGTCTGGTTCTCTGGTTCTGTGTTTCTATAGGTCTGGTTCTGTGTTTCTACAGGTCTGGTTCTGTGTTTCTATAGGTCTGGTTATCTGGTTCTGTGTTTCTATAGGTCTGGTTCTGTGTTACTATAGGTCTGGTTCTGTGTTTCTATAGGTCTGGTTCTGTGTTTCTACAGGTCTGGTTCTGTGTTTATATAGGTCTGGTTCTGTGTTTCTATAAGTCTGGTTCTCTGGTTCTGTGTTTCTATAGGTCTGGTTCTGTGTTTCTATAGGTCTGGTTCGGTGTTTCTACAGGTCTGGTTCTGTGTTTCTATAGGTCTGGTTCTGTGTTTCTATAAGTCTGGTTCTGTGTTTCTATAGGTCTGGTTCTGTGTTTCCATAGGTCTGGTTCTGTGTTTCTATAAGTCTGGTTCTCTGGTTCTGTGTTTCTACAGGTCTGGTTCTGTGTTTCTACAGGTCTGGTTCTGTGTTTCTATAGGTCTGGTTCTGTGTTTCTACAGGTCTGGTTCTGTGTTTCTACAGATCTGGTTCTGTGTTTCTACATGTCTGGTTCTGTGTTTCTGTGTTTCTGTGTTTCTATATGTCTGGTTCTGTGTTTCTGTGTTTCTATATGTCTGGTTCTGTGTTTCTACAGGTCTGGTTCTGTGTTTCTATAGGTCTGGTTCTGTGTTTCTATATGTCTGGTTCTGTGTTTCTACAGGTCTGGTTCTGTGTTTCTATAGGTCTGGTTCTGTGTTTCTACGGGTCTGGTTCTGTGTTTCTATAGGTCTGGTTCTGTGTTTCTGTGTTTCTATATGTCTGGTTCTGTGTTTCTACAGGTCTGGTTCTGTGTTTCTGTGTTTCTGTGTTTCTATATGTCTGGTTCTGTGTTTCTATAGGTCTGGTTCTGTGTTTCTATAGGTCTGGTTCGGTGTTTCTACAGGTCTGGTTCTGTGTTTCTATAGGTCTGGTTCTGTGTTTCTACAGGTCTGGTTCTGTGTTTCTATAGGTCTGGTTCTGTGTTTCTATAGATCGGGTTCTGTGTTTCTATAAGTCTGGTTCTCTGGTTCTGTGTTTCTATAAGTCTGGTTCTCTGGTTCTGTGTTTCTATAGGTCTGGTTCTGTGTTTCTGTGTTTCTATATGTCTGGTTCTGTGTTTCTGTGTTTCTACATGTCTGGTTCTGTGTTTCTGTGAATCTGTGTTTCTATAGGTCTGGTTCTGTGTTTCTATAGGTCTGGTTCTGTGTTTCTACAGGTCTGGTTCTGTGTTTCTACAGGTCTGGTTCTGTGTTTCTATAGGTCTGGTTCTGTGTTTCTGTATGTCTGGTTCTGTGTTTCTATGTTTCTATAGGTCTGGTTCTGTGTTTCTATAGGTCTGGTTCTGTGTTTCTACAGGTCTGGTTCTGTGTTTCTATAGGTCTGGTTCTGTGTTTCTATATGCCTGGTTCTGTGTTTCTATAGGTCTGGTTCTGTGTTTCTACAGGTCTGGTTCTGTGTTTCTATAGGTCTGGTTCTGTGTTTCTGTGTTTCTGTGTTTCTATATGTCTGGTTCTGTGTTTCTACAGGTCTGGTTCTGTGTTTCTATAGGTCTGGTTCTGTGTTTCTACAGGTCTGGTTCTGTGTTTCTATAGGTCTGGTTCTGTGTTTCTGTGTTTCTGTGTTTCTATATGTCTGGTTCTGTGTTTCTACAGGTCTGGTTCTGTGTTTCTATAAGTCTGGTTCTGTGTTTCTATAGGTCTGGTTCTGTGTTTCTACAGGTCTGGTTCTGTGTTTCTATATTTCTGGTTCTGTGTTTCTACATGTCTGGTTCTGTGTTTCTGTGTTTCTGTGTTTCTATAAGTCTGGTTCTGTGTTTCTACAGGTCTGGTTCTGTGTTTCTATAGGTCTGGTTCTGTGTTTCTATAGGTCTGGTTCTGTGTTTCTACAGGTCTGGTTCTGTGTTTCTACAGGTCTGGTTCTGTGTTTCTATAATTCTGGTTCTGTGTTTCTACAGGTCTGGTTCTGTGTTTCTACAGGTCTGGTTCTGTGTTTCTATAAGTCTGGTTCTGTGTTTCTATAGGTCTGGTTCTGTGTTTCTATAAGTCTGGTTCTCTGTTTCTATAGGTCTGGTTCTGTGTTTCAATAGGTCTGGTTCTGTGTTTCTATAAGTCTGGTTCTGTGTTTCTATAGGTCTGGTTCTGTGTTTATATAGGTCTGGTTCTGTGTTTCTATAAGTCTGGTTCTGTGTTTCTATAGGTTTGGTTCTGTGTTTCTATAGGTCTGGTTCTGTGTTTCTATAAGTCTGGTTCTGTGTTTCTACAGGTCTGTTTCTGTGTTTCTATAGGTCTGGTTCTGTGTTTCTATAGGTCTGGTTCTGTGTTTCTATAGGTCTGGTTCTGTGTTTCTATAGGTCTGGTTCTGTGTTTCTACAGGTCTGGTTCTGTGTTTCTACAGGTCTGGTTCTGTGTTTCTATAGGTCTGGTTCTGTGTTTCTAGAGGTCTGGTTCTGTGTTTTTACAGGTCTGGTTCTGTGTTTCTATAGGTCTGGTTCTCTGGTTCTGTGTTTCTATAGGTCTGGTTCTGTGTTTCTATAGGTCTGGTTCTGTGTTTCTACAGGTCTGGTTCTGTGTTTCTATAGGTCTGGTTCTGTGTTTCTATAGGTCTGGTTCGGTGTTTCTACAGGTCTGGTTCTGTGTTTCTATAGGTCTGGTTCTGTGTTTCTATAAGTCTGGTTCTGTGTTTCTATATGTCTGGTTCTGTGTTTCTATAGGTCTGGTTCTGTGTTTCTATAAGTCTGGTTCTCTGGTTCTGTGTTTCTACAGGTCTGGTTCTGTGTTTCTACAGGTCTGGTTCTGTGTTTCTATAGGTCTGGTTCTGTGTTTCTACAGGTCTGGTTCTGTGTTTCTACAGATCTGGTTCTGTGTTTCTATAGGTCTGGTTCTGTGTTTCTACATGTCTGGTTCTGTGTTTCTGTGTTTCTGTGTTTCTATATGTCTGGTTCTGTGTTTCTGTGTTTCTGTGTTTCTATATGTCTGGTTCTGTGTTTCTACAGGTCTGGTTCTGTGTTTCTATAGGTCTGGTTCTGTGTTTCTATATGTCTGGTTCTGTGTTTCTACAGGTCTGGTTCTGTGTTTCTATAGGTCTGGTTCTGTGTTTCTATATGTCTGGTTCTGTGTTTCTATAGGTCTGGTTCTGTGTTTCTACAGGTCTGGTTCTGTGTTTCTATAGGTCTGGTTCTGTGTTTCTGTGTTTCTGTGTTTCTACATGTCTGGTTCTGTGTTTCTACAGGTCTGGTTCTGTGTTTCTGTGTTTCTGTGTTTCTATATGTCTGGTTCTGTGTTTCTATAGGTCTGGTTCTGTGTTTCTATAGGTCTGGTTCTGTGTTTCTATAGGTCTGGTTCTGTGTTTCTATAGGTCTGGTTCGGTGTTTCTACAGGTCTGGTTCTGTGTTTCTATAGGTCTGGTTCTGTGTTTCTATAGGTCTGGTTCTGTGTTTCTATAGGTCTGGTTCTGTGTTTCTATAGGTCTGGTTCTGTGTTTCTACAGGTCTGGTTCTGTGTTTCTATAGGTCTGGTTCTGTGTTTCTACAGGTCTGGTTCTGTGTTTCTATAGGTCTGGTTCTGTGTTTCTATAGGTCGGGTTCTGTGTTTCTATAAGTCTGGTTCTCTGGTTCCGTGTTTCTACAGGTCTG